AAATATGTTCAGGGGTTAAAAAAATTTGTTGCCCATTTGCATAGTTTGGTTTATGCCAGACTAACATCCCTTCCCCTGTTTACGCCCCCCTGTCGAACAATAAGTGTTGCCCCATGATAGAAAATACTATCTTTGAGGGTTTAAAATCTGGAGAAATAACCCCTACATTAGCCCAGTTGCAACTTCATCTTCCATATCGTTTCCTTTCTCATCAATTACTGTCCGTACATATCCCTAGATGTACTGGTAGTAGTTTCCTGGTTTCCATTTTCTTCAGTGCACAGGCAGGAGCCTGCAAACAGCGTAGGATCCCTAAAGGGCTCGGCTTTTTTAGAGACAGCTAGGCCCACACCACACTTATGTTCAAAACAGGCAGGGCTTTAATTAGGAACTCCTTTTTGGGAGGCCCTAGAAGATGGATTCGAGCATTTTGGAATCCACATACGGCCGTCCTATTTATGAAAACCACCAAGTTGGTTGAAACCAGGGCTCATTGTCAAAGCAGCTTTGTTCTTTGTTCCTGTGGATGATTATGTTCTAGTATTAGGGCTTGTCATCCATTATTGGACCTTGGCATGCAATGGATGTGAAGCCTGATCATTGTCTTCGCATTTTGTTCCGCCTCTTGCAGGATTCGTTGTGGTTGCGACCACGAAGCGTGCCCACCATAGACAACTTGACTCTGGCGGCCTATCAAGAGCAGTACGAGGCCTCATGAGAGAGAAGAGCAGTAACCCAAACCCTGCACTCAGAGTCTTAAACCCTGAATCCTAAACCCTACACTCCCTAGAGCCGTGAACCCTGAACCTGACTGTCCTGGTCTGAGCTGCAGGGCCAACTCCCGGTTGTCTGGCGGGGCGCGTATCAGAACCTGAGTTGCTTGGAAGATGGTTGGATTGAGAAGGCCCGTGGCTCAAAATTCGGTGTTTTTGTTCTGAGCCGTTGGCAAACTAAGTGTAGGGTTTCAAGATTGAGCGCAGGCTGTCATGAAGCCCTTTGGGAAGGAGCGGGTGGTTTTCGTGGGTTTCGGCAAAGGCGAAGAGCGCGTCATGCCGGGCACTTATTGAACTGTCTGACTGAGATCTGCTTGATGCGCGAGGTGTTTGTGGTCAGAAAGATTCATCTCAATTTGATTCCCTCAGGTCTGCCAAGCTTGAAACGTTTCTCAGTCACATCAACAAAAACACCCAGGCTCATCATGCGTCTACATAGGCAGTTATGAATCATGTCGCTTGCACGGCTGTCTGTTGAAAGGAGGCGTGGTCATACATACAGGATGACCATTTTCTCCGAAGACATCCCGAGCTCATGTGGGAGTGTCCCCCCATGCCTGCAGAGCTCCAGAAAGAGGATTTGTTTGCCTTGGCACCCGTACCTTAGCTGAACTTGCTTTGCTGCATCTCTATGTGATCTGTGCCTTGCTGCAGGCAAGATTCGCCCCACAGAATGCAACTTTGCTTTGGGGCGGACGTTTTTCCAGGCTGGCCGCATTGGGATTGGGAAGATCGTTTCTCTTCCTGCTGCTACGCACTTGGATCTCAGATAGCAGCTGTCAGCCTCGCCAGCTTTGCCTGACCAAGCCAAATTGTTTCTGGATGTTTACGAGAGTGTAAGCCTTTTCAGGGGTCACCTGTGCGTTTGAAACGATACTGGCATCCTCATAGCACAAGGATCAAGACACTTGCTTTGTATGTTGTATAGTAGGCAAAGACTAGTCTTGTGCAGAAATCAATCAACTCAACGGCATGCGGCGCAACAGAAAGCAGATGAGTTGCTGCCACTCCATTCGTGTGGCACCGTATTCGAATAAACTTGGATGACATGTTGCATCGACAAAGTCCCTAAAGTGTAGAAAGCAGATACTTTTTGCAGGTCAAGACTTCACGTGGATAACTACAATTGGACTGGAACAAACCTGGTCCTGCGTGGAGAGAAGTTCGTGCGACTGATTCCGCCAGGAGATCCTAATTTGCATCAAGGACTCACAGGCATTGCGTTTTCAGGTTTTCAGGTTTGGGCTGCAGGTTTCGGAGATCAGGAAAAACCTGGTGTTCACTTTGTTCCACACAAGACTTTTGCTCGAGACTGTTTTTGTAGAATGACGAGAATCTTGGCCCCTCTGGTGTCTTAATAACTGGGACTGGAGTGTAGATAGGGAGCGCTGGCCAAGGTTGGTTTACAAGGGTGGGAAGGCAAGGACGTCGAATTGTAATCTGTTCGCGATGCATCTGGCGCACCATCCTGGGTTCCTTCGCAGTGCACATCTAAGGGCCACGATCACCATCTAAAAGTTACAATTCGATCTTGTGGTTCTGCGCTGGAGTGCGTTAACTATGAAGCTGCCGCTGACCTGTTTGAGGGCGCCCCGCAGGCGCAGTGCTGGGCTGTACGGGCTTCGGATGGAGTCGCGCTAGACACGGGCCTTGATTGTTGCAAAGCAACTCACGAGCCAGGATGTCTTCCCAATGGCTCTGCTGGTGGATCGGGTACAGGTTTATTTTTGTCTGGTCCGAGCTCGTGTGGCCCGGTCCTGGTGGCGCGGTCCCGGGTCCCGGTGGCCCGGTCCC